TATGGTAAATATTTTTTCGAACCTTATTTTCAGATATAGATTCTAGTTCTCGTTGAATTTGATTGAGACGATTCATTAATCTAATGATAGAAATCTTAGTAAAAGTCATGTCTAACCCAATTTCTATGTGAAAAACGGGAATATTATTTATCTCTCTTTCTTTTTTAGATCATAATTAATATTTCAAAAATCAATCAAATTTATTATTTAAGTGACTTCATTTGGATTATATCTCTTACATAAAATGTATGTATTAACTTATATATTTTATTTAATCTCGATTATGTGTAAAAAAAGTAGACTTTGATTATTATGTTAACCCTTCGTTGCTGTCGTGGGGTCTAAGCGGACCCACCACCTGTCTATATCTTCTAACAAGACTGCAGCTACTGTTTCGGTTTGCTATTTTTGACTAGTGTATACTATGCCCAACTCATAGAGAAAGACTGGATTTCCTCTCTGTTGTGTCCAAGTAATTATAAGACTACAACTGAAAGCTCAAAATGAGGACAGCTACGAAGGATTAAGACTACCCATCAATACTTTTACTTCAATGATAAAAAATTTGAACGTCCTTTTTGATTATTCATTAACTGAATAACTTGTAACAGCGAATTATAAGCATACATCAATATATTCAGTATACAAATATCTTGAATAGTTAGGATAAACTTCATATTTTTTTAGTATTAAATCATAAAACACGGATTATTTATTTTAGATGAATTTAATGGTCAATTTTTCACAAATATTATTACTAAACTTTTTGGTAAGTATATGTATAGACATACTTTTAGATCATTTGATATAATTAGAATATTTGTTGACCTGTAAAATATTAGTTGTTACTATTTTAAAAACAGTGATACCTAGAAAAAGTTCATAGGTGTGATTCTTCTTCTTCTTTTTCTGTCTGTCAATTTAAAAATTCTTCCGATAATTTACACATGAAAAAGTTGTCTCACAGGTAAACGGTTATTATAAAAAAAAACTAATTGTTTCATTAAAAAACATATTTTAATATTCATTAGAAAAGGTTATTTATAAAAAAAAAAAGAAAAAGTTCATTTTCTGTATGATAAAAATGGATACTTATATTAAATCTATGCGAGCGCATGATTATAAAATGTCATTTTAATGCACCTAGGTTTATTTTCTTCATTTAACTATTTTTATTCTTCATTTTAACAAAAAATAATAATAATAACAACAACAATATGTATGTATATATCGAAGTATTAACTACTTCATTTCTTTTTTTTTTCTCTACTCCATCATCATTGTTACATCACAGTCTAGACGATGTCGATGGCAGCGACAGAGACGGTTAGTTACATGTTTTTTATTTAGTCTGTCTGACTAAAGATATACATGCATAGTAAACCGTTGAATCGATGATGATGAAAGAAGTATATTTAACTTTATGACCTTTGTTGTAACAATTGTTATTACTTTTTTATTTCACTGATCTATAATAGATTAGAATTTGAAATTGGATTTAAAAAAGAAAAGAATTTCTTCAAGGATTAACTAGAATATAGACAGACATATTGTCTGGGTTCGGTGTAAAATTAGATTCTCTATGCATCTTCTGTTTCTATAATATCTCGAATTTGCGTGACAGTCTATGCTGACATGCAGCAAAGCAGACGATAGAAGAAGAAGAAAAAAAGAAACTCGAGTGTCACATAATTAAGTAAAATGTATTTTTAGTTTGCCAGTAAATGGCAGCAATGATATCTTTTGCAAGAATACTTTAAAAAAGTACATGCGCTAGAATAAATACTATAAAAACAACGTACACTGTATTATTATTTTACTATTGCCTGTCAAGATATTTCTGATTTATCATAAGTATTCTTTTACGACTTATATTTTATGAAAAAAATATTTTTGAATTTCTTGTGAATCTACATTTAACAAAAAAATTATTTTTAAGACTAGTTGTTTTTATGAAATTCTAGCTGATTGTGTTAGAAATTAATATGATATAGAACAAAAAACAGCTGTTTTGACTAATGTTCTCAAGCAGATAAACAAAATAGTATTATATATCTATGATTGGTTTGCTTTTGAGATCAACGAACATAGATGACAAGGACATTTTTTCTTTCTGTCTCGCAAAGATCAAGAAACGAGTTAATCATTACTCTTAGGTTTTTTTTCTTCTTCTTGTTTTGAAACAAAATAACTTTTGTATGAAGATGTTTTTCTCTTCTCAACACAAAACATATGATTGATTCGAGCGAGGAATGTTATTGCTGTTATTTCATTTATTCATCATCAAGGATCACAGACAGTGTCTGACAAAAGCGTTTCGATTTTGACTATTATTAAAGAAATTTCAAAGACACGCCCTGTTTATGTATGCAAAATATATGTGTTTTCTTGTTTACCGATAATAAACACCTTCAGACAAACGACGTACTTTTTTTGTCCTTATATTTTTTTTAAGCAAATTTATAATAATGTTAGGTAAGAATCGATTATAGAATAATAATGACTGACAAATATGTAAAATACAGAACATTACTAATATAGCACACGCTACGAAAATTATTTATAAGCTGCTTGATTATATAGAATATATATTTACTATGTGAATGTTGAAACTGTTAAGTTTTAATATGTTTTTGAAGAAAGAAAATATATTGCGTAAAGTTGACAGGAATCTTTTTTTTCTTCTTTACATTTATTATTTTCTTTTCTTTTTTTTTCTTTTTTGATTTAAAACAATTGGTCATAGATTCAGATGATGGTTTCTGTCTGGTGTACGTGTGTGTGTGTGTGTGTGTCGATAACGGAAATAGACATGGCGAGACATACTCAACAACGTTGAAAGAAAGAGAGATGTTGATGATTAAATATTATATCATCATAGACGGACGGCAAGCGCAAGAAAAAGAGAGTAAAAGAATAAAATCAAGAGAATCAGACATAGAGAACAGGAAGAAAACGACGACGAGACATACAAACGGCTAAAGACAAAAATAGAACGAAGAAAAATAAGAAAGTGCGCCTGCCTACGTCTCATCGCAGCCTATTTCCTCCTGCTTTGTCACTCGTCATATTTGCCATTATTGGTAGTCACTCAGCTGGTTCATTATCATAGCTGCTAAAATAATCCATTCCGATCTATATAAATGTAAGTTCGAATTAAAAATATCTACAAACAAGATATAATTAAATAATGTAAATTAAGAGAATGTTTTCTCTGATCCAGAGTCTTTTTTTAATCATAATTATTATAGACTAATAGATCAAATAAAAACTAATGAATTATATGTTCATTCTGTTGATCTAACGGATTATTTTTTTTTTCCAGACATAAAAGTGAGGAGAAAATAGTCTTCTTTTTGCTCTTATACGAGCAACATGACATTTAAAAAAAATCTAATTATTCCATACACAACAGTAACGAAAACTGTTATGGCAACATAAAATTTTTATGCGTTTTGGTTACTTGAATTTGTTTTATACATGTTCATTTATTTCGAAGTAGACAGTATTTATTCTTATAGACTAAAATTGGCCGACCTTTTTTTATTTTATCAATGAACATTAGAAAAAAACTTAAAAGAAAAATACCACTAATTTGTATTAAAATATTATATAATTATCAGCTGTCTAGATTTCTGTTATAATTAGAAATTTTTATTTTTTTTCCAAGAAAAAAAAACAGACTTAGTTTCATATTTCTTCTATCATTTATTATTCCTTTTAAGACATATTTAAAAATTGATTCTATTATATAGTCTTAATGAATATTTAAAATAAAAATTCGTTTTTCTTTCTATTCTAGATTCTCGATGTTTGTATTTGAGCATGTAACAAAATTTTTTAATTTTCTTTAATTATTTTCTTAAAATTCAAAAAAGAAGCAAAACTAAATTCTAACAAAATTATTTCAAATTAGTCGATGTTGAACCGTTTATCAAACGCAAGTTTTTGTTTATTGTTGTCCTTACTGTTAGTTCTGTCATTATGACGGCTACTCAAACATTGATTGTCAAATATCGATTATATACAAGTACAAAAAAAAAAATTAACCTTAAAACAAAAACAAATCAAACGTCATTGTCATCAAACTAATTTATTAAAACGTAAGTAACAACATCATATATACCTATAAATATTATTATACTATTTACTGATAAAATATATCTGGGTCAAAGCTACTGTTAAGGACTTTTTTTTGTAATTTTATTTTTCTTTCCGACTGGCACAATATTATTTGCTTCACTAAATATTGACAGACTGATTAGATAACAGAGTAGATGTCGTATAAAGTTTTTTTTACCCTTTAGTTTGTCTGTGTCAATCCCAGTAGAACCCAAATATATTTGGATATATCAGTTGTTTACTTTATTATATAGAAATAGGAAAAAAGCGATACAAAACTAACCCTCTTTTTTATCTCGTAGACTGATAAAAAAAAAGAAGGCTTGTTTCATACTTTTTGACTTAGTATATAAACAAAAAAAAAACAACAACACGAATTTCGAGGTGAAAAGAATAAGTAGTTAGAATGCAGATATAAAATCTGATCATACATAAATAAGAAAATTATTTTCAAACATTTGAGTTACACTATATTTAAATATTTTTCCAAAGTAAATATAATCTGTAATGAATTAAATATCAACTTTAATACTACAGATGCTTATTTTAAACAAGTTCTTTCTTCCATATATATATATATATATATATAGAATAAGAATCATCAAAGAACAAGATTACATATCGAGGATTCTTTTTAAATAATTAACTCAAGGCGTAATTTTATCTTGTCAACAATAATAATTGTAATTATGATCATTATTTATAAAAATGTCTTCAAGTCCTATGACTTGTTTGTTTAACTAACAATGTCAATAGTATTTAGTTTAAAAAGAATGATATATTTATATCTTCTAAATTAGTTATATTTTTATTTGAATCTATTTATAGCTCTTCAAACAAGTAATCATCATTGTACTATTCATAAAAATCCTACTACAATGTCGAATACATTTATGCGTGAACTTGATCTTAAAATGCAACAAGTTAAAGAATATGGTTTAATTACACATGGTTACTATAATGAAAATATACAATATCCTACTCATGTTCGTCGTAGTCATGATGGAGAAAAAATATCACGAACAACATCCATATTTTCTCGATCAAGTAGTCATAAGAAAAAACCTCATCTATCTAATACAACTATATTAACATCATCATCACATGAAAATCAAACAAAAATTAAACAAAAAGAATCAACGACTCGACAATTATCCTATGATGAACGTCAAACAACATTGATTATCCCACCAAATAAAACTGTTAATGATATAAATCCATCTTTAAATAATGATAGACTTGATATACATAGAAAATCTTCATCATCATCAGCGAATTCATCTCCAATATTGAGTTCATTTCGACCACATTCAATTGCTGGTTTATCATCATCATCAACATTAACTGATGAACAACAAATTAATTCTCTATCACATTCATCTCAATCATTAGTTAATCAATCACCACCAACAAAAACATTAACACAAAGATTTTTTTCTAAACTCTTTCATCATCCATCCAAATCCTGATATACAATTTATTATTATTATTTTTCTTTAATTTTGCTTTTTGTACACGATAACAGTGCTTTTTGCTTTTAGAGTAATTGAGCGATGATCTCACAACTATCTCACTCATTTTCTCTTTATCTCTCTATCTCTCTCTATATATATATCTGTGTGTGTGTGTTTGTGTATAATTACTGTTGTTTCGTATGTCGAGTTTCATTACGGCGTGAAACAGTATCGATTATCCATATTGTTGTTTGGCTTGATGTATTTTGTTTTCTTTTTTCTTTCTTCTTTCATGTTCTATCTGTTTTGCGTATTATTGAATTAATTTTTTTTTTTCATGTTTGTTGCTCACGATTTCATAAAACAAACATATAACAAAACATGTAGAGTTAATGGAATAAGCAATATATATATTTATATAAATATATATAAATTAAAGAAAGATTTCTAGACAAATTTTTATTTAACTTTTGAAATATAGATAACATTATCTTCTTGAATTAGAAAAAAAAAGGTCAGTAGTTCTTTACAAGATATGATATATTTTTCCAAGAATTGTTTCGAGAGAACGATGCATTAGTATCATAAAATATAAAAATAACTACTTCAAATTGATAATTTATATTTAATTGCATTTACAAAAAAAAAAATGTATCGTTATATTATGTTGTTAGACATTGAAATTAATAATTAATTTAGATTTCTATTATTATATTACAATCATGTCTTATTTAAGAATGTTCTTGCTCATGATATGTAAATTAAAGATTATAATAGATAATATACGTACATAGTTAATTCTAGGTCATCTATATTTGTAATATACAGTGTCTATTGATAAAATTCTTATTTAAACAAGTGTTGAAAGTTCATCAGTTTTAGCTAAATCTATATCATCATCACATAAATGTGTAGCATCAACAGTATGATATATAGATCCATTAATTCCACCAAGTTTGCCATCAAATGTTGTATTTTGCCATAATGAAACATATGTTAAAAGTGTTAGAAGAATAAAAATCAAACCAAAACCAAGGACACTTAATGATATAATAGCAGGTATAAGTGACATATTCAATAATATAAATATACACATAACTAAAAAAAACATAACAGTATATAATCTAAATAAATAGATTTATTCTTACCAAGAATAAATGCTGGTATTGATGCATAAAAACTACAAATAGCAATAAAACGTGCTGTTGAAGAACTGAATAAACAATTAAAACTACTGTTGAAGAAAAATTTCAAAAGGAGAAATTAGATTTTAAACATTAATAATAGAAAAAAAAGAATCATACCGATGAGAATCATTTTTAGGTTGCATTATATTACAACCAAGATAAATTTCAATACTAAATATTAATATACAAAAACAATTAAGTACAATAATTGATAAACATATAACTGTAGCAAATTCACGTAATGTACGGTCATATGCTGGAATAATAAGATTAGAAACTGTATCCATTGTTGATATCGGTATAAGTATTTTATAATGAGAATCCAATGTGATATTATTTGAATGACCTAATTGAGGAATTATATCATTATTATTGATAAAATGTCTGCGTAATATTAATTGCATAGTAGAAATAGCAATAAGTATGAGACAAGCTGAAACAAAACACATAAAACATAAACTTAGAATATTAGCACCTCTTCGTGCTGCTATTATTCGACGTTTTTCATTTGTTATCATTGGTGTTGTTGGATCCGGTGAAGATTCACGTTGACGAGCAATTTCTGTTATATTAACTTTTTCATGTCCAATTGATACTTTATATGAATTATAAGCAGTTGTAGCTAAACGATTTAATAATTGATTTTGACGAGATTGAATACTTGGTTCAGATTGGCTTAATGTTGTCTGCCAGTTCATATCAAAATCACTTGGTGGTGGAGGTAAAGGTGGAATAGGTGATGATGAAGATGTTTGATCGAAAAATTGACTAATAAAATATCAAAAAAAAAAAAAAGAAATGGTGACAAATAATGTCTTTAAGTTGTAAAAAGTTTCAAGTATACCTGTCATCATTATTCGGCTTCCCCATCACTCAGTATTCAGAATTGTATTCACTCAATATGTCATCTCACTTATATTCTAGCACTTTCGTTCACTATAACAAAGAAGAAGAAAAAAAAAATGAATTCGTTATATAGATCGACGCGACGCAATAACTACCTCCCTGTATGAACATTGATGATGATTATGAACAACTTTCAATACACAACCATCAATTAGACGACGAATAAGATTCCATAAAAGAATATAGATGTATATGAAATTATTAGGAATGAATTGTTTCTATTGTACATATTCTCTCAATAAAGAAATGATTACAAGCAATTAAAACAACGATACTATCATCATTTCTACGATTGTTTCATATTCATTTTATAACATTATCATCTTTATGGCTTCTATTTATTTGTAAATCAAATGACAGGAAAGATACAGAAAGAAAAAGTTGATTTATAAATATACGATAAAATGATTAGGTAATCAAATGAAATTTCCTTCTGTATTTACACATACACACATATATATATTAGCTTTATTCAATTCACACTATATACATTGTACTTTTCTTATCTAGATATGTTAATCGAAAGAAACATCAAGGTTAAATGACATAAAGCTTCTAATATAAATATGACAATTATACATGTTAAATATTTCAATTCAATTGTAAACAATAGAAAATGAAATCAAATTTTCTATGTTCAATAATAGTATACTTAGCATATATGGTTATACCTTCTTGTCAATCAAATGTGCGGAAAGAGAACAGATTGATGAATAATTACATATAACTGCAAACCACTATGCATATATATATGTCAGTCATAGCGGCTATACATACTCATAAAATTCTGCGAATAGTCCTATTGATATAAGTGGAAACGAATAATAACAATAGCAAGCTAACGTGCATAGTATATATAATTTTCTTTTCTTCTCTTTAATACTTTATGTTACTATTGATATTGAATGAAAAAAAAGTACCAATAAATAGTATTTAAGAACAATAGAAATACAAAAAAAACGAATGTCTTTATTTGTATAATAGACTGAAGTAAATTATATGACTTTTGACTACGATTAATAATCAATCTAGACAATGAGTATTATATTCATTTATTGATGTTAAATTATTTCAGATTAAGTTGTAAAAGATAAGAAATATTCTTAACTGATCTTTTAACATATGATTATAGATTAATCAATTGACAAACAATGGTACAAATTTCAGAACATAAATTTATCTCTAGAGATTACAAAATA